CTACTCCTGCTGTGCATCTTTTGTGAGTTAAACTATTCTTATTTGGAAAAGCCTATGTTCACCACATTCAGTAGGTAATTTGTTCCTAAAGGTACGCTGCAATTTTTGACATGTTTTACCTAATATTCTTGATGATTGCCATTAGCCTAGATACAAACGTAGAGTATAAACTACTGCACACTGCAGATGTTGAAAAAATGGGTAATATCAGAAAAACCACAGCACATGAGTCCATACTCCTCAGATGTTTTGTGAAGTGAAGAAGGGATGAAAGTAGCGGTTTCATCCCTCTCTCCCTCCCTTGCTTCCTCTCTCCTTCCTTGCTTCATCTTTCTTACTGGCAAACATGAGTAAGAATGAGTTATGTGAATTAAGAATTAATTTTATGACACCTTTTCTGCTTTGTAAGATGCTTCTAATGAGCCATTTTAACTTAAAAACTTTGCGGACACTGAGTTATTTACTGATATTTACTGAATTGACATTTTTCAATATAAGGCCCCATTCATCAAAACACAGAAGGACATGCATAATTTGAATTACATGCTTGAGTCCAAATCCAAAATAGACAGTAAAATGTCAAGTGCATCTCTTTGACCTGCAGGTGATTCTCCAGTGAATTGCGTAAAGTGTACCGAGAGATACTGCTATAGCAGGGAGGTAATGCCTGCTAGAAGTCACTGCTCCCAACTCATTCCCAATTTTGAGCTCCTTTCTGGACTATACAACTTGTAATACAGGCTGGAAATAGTCTCAAGTCATCAAAGAAATGAAATATTACAACACAGACAGAGTACCAGAATTCTTGGCAATATTTTAAGTGCATGTGTGAAAATGACTGCCACCTAATATCAAGCTGGAACAAATGAATATGATAAGGAAAAGAGTAATATTCTTTACAGGGCTTTTACTGGTCCTTACCAGCAAGGTCCAGTGTGACATCAATGATGTGTTGACTTGACAGATACAGATACAGTGTATACACAGTCAAGGCTCACTCGACAATAGTGAAAAGGCTTCTTGATTGAATTGTCCTTTTTGGTGGAGGGACACTATTCCCTCAAAATTAAACACATGAAGAAATGCTGGATCTCCTTTCGTAGCGTTACTAGAAATCAGGTTGCTCTTTTCTGTATATGATGAAATTCACAGACACTGGGGGCATATGAACATCAATTATACATAACCACCATGAAAATGAAAAAAAAATCAGAAAAATATTGCAAGAAAGATTAATAGCTCTAAAATGAAGGATGAACACATAAGGAATGATTTTCAATTGTAACATTCAAAGAAGCTTTCAGATATGGCAGAAACTGTATTTGACTTTATACAAAAAGAATGGGAAGCCATTTGTAAATTTTATATTAATACAGCAGAGATTGTTCTTTATCAAAACTAGGAAAGAAGAGTGGTTTAGCAATGCCACATGGGATGCTATTACAGAAAAAAAGGCAGGATAAGTTAAATCTACTCAATACGTTAAGGCTAGAAAAGTAAACAAAGAAAAAAGGAATATAGGGATAAAGATAAAGGAGTAAAAAGATCAGGCAAAAAAGGATAAAAGAGGCTGTGTTGATAGACAGGCACTGAAAGCAGAAATGGCAGCAATGAAGGGAGACATGAGAACGTTTTGTCAAACTGTTTAAAGACTTCCTGGAGATACTAAGCCACAACAAGGAAAGCGCAGTGAGGAGTAATGACCGGAAAAAACAAACCGTGCCTTATTTTAGAGGAACAAAAGAACAGAAAGGCAGAACACCTTCCCAAACAGTGCAAGAAAAAACACTTTATTTTGTTAGTGAAAGATGGCGGAACTACTTGATGCCTGTCTTGAAGAAATTACATCTTCATGAGTTTAAAGACTCTGAAAGATGGAAGAATGCTAAATTAACAAATAAAATTCAAATCACTATAGCATAGATATGAGGAAATGAAAAGGACAACACGATATTTGGACGTGTCCCTAAGGTTTAATGTGAAGCAGAAATAATACAATCTGCTCTTGTTCCTATGGAAAGTCTTCAGTGTAGTCAACTATACTGCTTTCAAGTTGCCACTCATAGCAGACACAGGAAACATGGCAACATTTGCTCTAATTGATCTTGTGCACACAAGATCTTCCTCCTGCAAAGCATCATAGAACAATGTACAAGATGGTAGATGCCTCCTGTCCTGAACTGCATGGGGCTTGATTTAATAATGGATTGTCATAGCAAGTAGTACCACCCTTTGAAATCCCTCGGATGGCGATTCAAAATATTAAGCAGAAGCATGCCATGAAGTAGATGCAGCTGGGAGGCGATGAACCTTGGTGACAAAGACTGCGTCTTCTCCTCCCCCGCCTGCACTAAAATCCATTGGAACGGATTCTGTTACTTGATCATTACTGTGGAAATGGGTATTTCAATATAAATGAAGAGAGCAGAGATGTAAGGGTTTGTAGCCAAAACCTGTCTCCTCACTAAATCAGTTGAAAATATGTCATGAAAAAGGCTGTCTTACACTTATGCCAAACAGGCCCTACAATTAATAAATTAGAGATATTAATTGTCACAGATGATAAATTATCTACACAGAACTTTCTCTATTTAGAAGCCGAAGCTTTTACAAACTTGCATAACCTCATTCAAAATGCAAATAAATGCATGCTTGATATAAGTTCAGAACAATAAACTAAGTACTCCCCACACATATTACTGTGCAGAAGTCTTGCAGGATTAAAAAAAACATGGAAATCAAGGGGAAGAGCCCTCAAATACAGTGCAGAATCCTAGAAAAATAATGGACTCATCCTGTGCAAATGGCACAGCTATCAGTACAGGTGTCTGTGAAGGCTATTTAAAGTACTGACTAAATAAATAAGAAATGAAGAAGCCTTAAAATGAGTACAGATAATGGAAACAGTACAAATAGTAAAAAGGAAGAGAGGGGACATAGATCTATTTTTCCTGACTCCCCAGTAATAGGGAGAATCAAACAAATACTTCTGCGGGAGCCCCAGGTTTGGCTGAATCAATGGCACTCTGCAACACAGCTATGGTTGACGTGACCCTGCTACAAAAGTGAAAAAGACTTACAGAAACGAGCCAGACAGGATATGGCTGACTAACATTATTTGACTTCTGGTTTACGGTCTTACCAACAACAATGACACTGTTTAGTAAGAGCATGAAAAAGGGTTACAAATATACGAGAGGCGAAAAACTGCATTAGGGAGCTGAACCAATAAACTTCTCCATTCAATTTTAGCTCAAGCATAATACTAATGTCAACATGGCGCTTAAGTTTTAGTTCCACATCAAGGAAAAAAATAACGAATAAACTGGTTTTGATTTGGTCTTGATCACTTAATTGTCAATGAAATATTCTTTCATACAGAAGAGCAAGTTTCAGACAGACTCATTTCAATCAAAACTTTCTCCTTCTCTGGACATTGTACTAAAAACCCAAAAACTGAAAAAAATATTCAAGTCCAAAAGTTGCTTTCAAAAACAAAAAAAAAGTGGCTTCTGAAAACCATTTAGATTCCCATATTTCTGATGAAATATTTCAAATATTCACAAATAAATAAAAATTCCCGTGGCATTATTTTTCCCAAGCATTCATATCAACTGCATAATTTTGCCTATTGATATAAAGCTTAGTTTGAGAGATTAGTGAGCACTTCCAGATGTTTAGTAAATCAGGCTGTCCTATAAACCTTTTTGTTTATCTAAGACACATTTTCAAAGTCACAAGGGGGAAGTAAGGAACCCAGTTCCCACTGAAAATCAAATATCACCTCCTTTATTAAGAAAGCTGACATATTTCCTCTGTAAATGATAACGTTGTTCTTCTGGGGAGGGAGAGATTATTTAAAAACAAATGCACTGAAGAGCATTTAATAGCATGGTTACAATCGTGATGACTTAAAGATATAGAATATAAAGAGGCAGGTTTGTCCACTAACTCACCTGATACGTTTGGAAGGAAAAAAAGAGACAAGCTTTTGGGCACACAAGTTTTTCTTCAGGTCTTGAACAGAAGAGGCAAAACATGTTTGGAAGTGCAAACCAGCTAGAACACTTTTTTCTCTTAAATCTATCTGTGTGCAAGCACAGTGTGTACTTGTGACAGCACTATTCAAAGCAAATGTTCTTATACAGCCTAACAGAAGCCTAAAGGTTTGGGTGTCAGCAGGAACCTTTCCACCAACTTCAGTGGCTGGGTTGATGTCACCTTTGGTAATCGTCCCTGAGTTTGGACTTGAGTTGTTGAGGCCACCACCGGCCAGTTTCCCAGCGACAGCTTTTGGATTTCCCAAGACTTAAACCCAGGTGCAGGTGGTGCGTCTCTTTGGCCAATACAGTCTTCTGGTAGCTCAAACTGACCTGACGGTCAGTCCAACTTGAGAATCCAAGTAAAAACCAACAAGAATTAGAGACAACAAGCAATAAGAAATAGTTCTGCTCCTGCGGGATCTTCTCAGCCTGCTGTGATGGGAGGTTTGTAGTAGGATGCTGGATGAGGGAACCAGAACAGCAGTGACAGTGTACAGCAGATGGATGGGTATAGCACAATATCTACTGGATCACTTCAGGAAGACTGGGCTTGGATCAGTTTAAGCCAGGCCCAGTTTGTTGCCTAGAAGTGCCTCATCCAGCCTCTAAACCGCTTTTTTTTTTCATGAGAGCCTGTTAACACTTACCAAGCATGAGCTCACATGAAGGCCAATGGTTAGGAGCTGATAACTATTGGGAAGACAGTTTTGAGAGTGAACATAACATAAATGCAGGTTTTTGGAAGGAAAAGAAGCAGCAAGGTGCCTACCTATCTTGCCAAGTTTCTTAACCTTTGTGTTTTATACCAAACCACTGATTTCCAAAAGCACAATTACATTTGCTTTATCCGCTGTCATTCACCCTGCTCCTATCTTTGTCTCTCAGTAGACTAAGCAGATTTTCATGAGGGTAGATTTCTTCTATCTATGTGCCCCCGCTTCATTCACCTCTATATACATGAGCTGGGGTTACATAGTGCTATTTAGGCAAACTGGATCTCAGTTACATACATGAAAACCCAAACGTTACTTCCCTGGCTTCAGTGGAGTTATATACTAAATTGTTTCAGCATCACAGTACAACTTTAGTGCTAAAGAAACCACAACACAACATGGATATTTTGCTCCCTATTTATTTTTAATTTTTTCCATATCCCAGTTAGCATCTCCTCATTAGAAATGCTAAATATGTGCTCAGACGTTTGCTTGTCTCATTCCTTTTGTTATGAAACTTCTGCATTGACTTATTTTGAGCAAAGATAAGTCTTGAAAAGCTTCAACTCTTAATCTAAAGCCTCAAATCATTAGCTGAAGGTTTATTTCAAGTTCCAGTTCATACAAGTTCAAGACATACTTGGTCAGCCTGACTTCTTAATTGCCTAGTAAGGGGATTGAATATTGTGGGGCTTATATACCCCTTTTTTGACAGTTAGTTCTTGAATCCCAAATGTTCATGTGATTTTGCATTTGTATTTACTATATTTTAAACCCAGATGGAACCAGTTAGATCACACATTCTAACTTTCTGCCTAACACCAGTCACATCAAAGGTTAGACTTTAAATTCCTGCGCCTTGTCCTCTCAGTTCATAGATACCATTATGAAACTTTCAAATATGAAGAACGGAGCACAAATATTAGGAAGCTGCTTCAGTGGTTATTCAGGTTTCACGTTAAAAAAGTGCCATTTACTTCCTGTTTGACCTTTACTAACCTCAACCTCCATTCATTTAATCTTCCTGTGGCTTTGCAAGCTTTTTTAAAGAGCCCTCCTTATCAGATTGCTTGTCTATTTAGAAGGACTTGAGGGGGCATCAGATTTCTATTGCATTTTGTTCTATATGTTACGCTTTGGTTGTTTAGGTGATTACTGCTTCTGCATTTCAGCCTTACTAGAGTTTGTTACCTGACAAAGTTTAGTTTCAACATTATGTTTTTTCTCTTTTAGATGCAGTCACATGTTTGTTAATTAGTTTTCAAATGAAAAAAACTTCAGAGTAAATTGCTTACAAAATAGATTAATTAGATCATAATCTCCAGAGTAATTTTCCTTCCTATCAGAGCTAAGCATACTCACTTCCAACCCTTCATAATCCAGTCCATGCACCTACGCAAACAGACAGAGAACAGAGGAGCAGCGCTGGTTGCACCAAAAAGGTAACTGGAATCAGAGTGTCCCTTATCACTCCCCAAAGCCCCAGGCTGTTCTATTTCAACTAGTGGACCATTATAATATCAAGTATTTTATTATTTTAAATGTTATACAGTGAAAGAGAAGTTCTCTTGGATATATGTGCCTTCACTACTCACAGTTTTGCATTACAAAGAATATGATCCTGGCAGTAGTAAGCAGAATGTGCGTACCAGACTGCGACCCTCCCAAGACCTAGGGACACTGCATTTCTGGGTCCAGATGGGGCACAGGAGGGAGGCATAAACCAGCTGCTCTGGGAATACCCTAGGCAAAACATCAGGTTCCTATCTTTAGAAGTCAGCAGGATGATGATGAAGGGGTTTAGGCAGCTCCAAAACTAGGTACTAGCCATGGAATCCAGTCAGGTTGTGGTTTTCAGCACCGCTGTGCCCTGTGAGTCCTGCCATAAATATCTACCTCTTCTACTGAATCTTTTACAGTGCCACAATGGGAGAAAGCACCCATCCCACGCAAGCTGGTAACGTTGCCACACAGCATAAAAGGAATACATTATTCTGGATTAAAAGCAAATTAACTGGCTGTGGATGAATTCATATTCTGGCTCACCTGAAATGAACACAGCTAATCCTGCGGTTAAGAGTTACGCTACCGTTGTCAGTATTTTATAAGCACAGGCTCTTTGCAGCGTGGCACAAGAAAAGCAAGTGCAGCAGCAAAGAGAGCAGTGGGACAGTCCTTGCTTTGAAGAACTTGCGATCCAAAATCCAGGCACCCGGATGGGCTCCCAGAAGAGGCGTGCTGCGTATATGGCTGTTCTCTAATCTCACAGTGTCCCACAGGCCATCTTCGGAGGAGGACCTGAGGGCTGGGGGATGTAGGGAGAGCAGGTGGAGGAAGGGGATTGGGAAGAGAGAACATACTCTCCAGCACAGAGCAGTGGCTTTTCTCAGGACCACATACCACCACAGACCCAGGCTACACTGAACTACCTTCTTCTACCCTCTGTTGGGCAGGTTCAGCTAAAGAAAGAGGCATTAAAGTGGCCCTGACTTCATTTTTATTGTCAGTTCTGATTTCCTTTCCAAAGGAATGTAATGTAAGTCACAGGGCTGTCAGCAAAGGAGGTCTGAAGATGCGTCGCTCAGACCCCTCACAGCAGGCATGTAAGATGGGTGAGGACGAGGCAAGCCCACGGCTCCACTCCCCATCTGCCTGCCTCTGCTGGGAAGGAGCAGAGTGAGCCAGCCATACTCCTCCTGCACCGGTTACTTCTGGCTACTGGTAGAATCAACCTCTCATATATTCCAGAGAAAGTCCAAGCAGTGGGAATACTACTGTAGAGTTTCCTCAGTGCTTTCTTTCCCGTAACACCCCAAGCTTCCCTCCCAGGCCAGCACTCGCCCGGTGCGGGCTCGCACCAGTTTCCAGCGGAGAAGCGTGTGGCGGAGAAGCAGGCTTTATCCGGGCGAGCACTTACACTAAACCTGTGCTTAAACATCACTATGTATCCCCAAAACAAGCCGAGGAGCACCCGCCCTTCGCGGTCCCCTCAGGGCGGCGCGGCGCCGCCGGCCGGTAACGGCT